CTATTATACTTCCGGAACAACGTCACCATCCAAATGAGTTGTGTACAATCACATAGGCGTGTAGTATTTTTCTGTTTATTTACAATGGGTTCGATGCGTCCTAATCTTTTGAGCCTCTCTTTGCCCTTGAGGTTGATTATTAACACAAAATGCAGCATTTAGCTTTCAGCTTTTTTGTTTTCGCCAACATCCTGTTATTGACTCTACAAATATTAATTTTGTCACGTAAAGTATATTAGAAAGATTAGCATTATGTATGGTTAGATGCTATTAGACGTAAAGATATTCGAAAAGAGGATGCTGGGCCAATGGTCAATTTAGAGAATCCAACTAGCCCAAAGGAGGAGCAGAATGATCATGCTAAGATGAAAAATGAAGAAGTGCATAGGCCAATTTCTGTCTGCTTTGCTAGATAGAAGACACAAACAATGATATAAATCTGAAATTTGGTTTATTGGATTCTTCCTCTATAATTCATGAACATAATTACGTAAACATAAAAATAAGTTCACGGAAAAAACAGATTGGGATATAGTTCCATTTACAAGGTTGCACACTTGGAAGACAAAATGCTAACTCTTTACCAATAACCATTCAGTCACATATGCCATATAATGGCCAAAGGCTAGGAAACTCATATATTTTCGTTATGCTGCCGATTCTTTTAACTCTTTTTAGCTGCAAAATAAATTGTCAAGTCTATAAATCATGTGCATGCTAAAAGTTGATGAGCAATCAGCTGATTCATATTTCAGGTGAGTAGTAAGATGAATCTATAAGCACAAATATATGAGGCATAAACCACCTTTTACCGAAACTCATGAAACTAAAGGCATTGATCATGGTGCCCATGGGAAATTAGAAGATCAAGGATTGCATGTGCATAAAATTGGAGCACGAACTCTGGAAAATCCCCACGCCTCCCACTTCCCTAAAGAGAGGCATAGATCACCTTTTGCTGAGACTAAGGGCATTGATCATGCTACTGCCTATGGAAAACAAGAACGCCAAGGACTGCAGGGGCATGAAAATATTGGAGCACCAACAAGTCTGGAGAATCCTTACGCTTCCCGCTTTCGTGAAGAGATGCATAGGCCACATGCTGCTGCTGATACACATGAGACTAAGGACATTGATTATGTTACTACCCATGGGAAATTAGAAGATCAAGGACTGCTGGGGCACAAAATTCGAGTACCAAAACGATTCAATTAAACCCCTCACCATATAGCCGTTCGCCACTGCTCCATACCTTTAAATCAAACAAAAATGTCTACAAGATTGGGGAATACATGTACAAACGTACTCTAAACAAACTGCCCAATAGCCAAAGAACTCGCAACTTATGAACACAAATTAGCAAAACTGGAGAAATAACTAACTTCCAATTACGCTAGAACATTGACGATGAGAGTCCAATACAAGCAGCACACAAAACAAAACTTTAATCAAGAAGATGTTCGGTACATACAATGTTTCCTCATCAAACAAGATGCGTCACTTATCATGGCTTATGATCTTCCAGTACTGGTAGACTGTTGCACAGAAGAGGGATCGTAGCAGCCTTTCGTAGTGCGCTTTTCATTTCACCATGCATTAGAAACTTAGAGTTGTTAACCCTATTCCGTGTGCCATTCTTAAACAAACTCAACATACAAATCCTTGATATCAATTAGGACCGTAGTTATTAGTGGCCCCATTTTAGGTCCCTGAATAACGTATACATCATCAACAACAACAACAATATAATCCCACAAGTGAGGTCTGGGGAGGGTAATATGTACGCAGACTTTTTACCCCTACCCCGAGGGGCAGAGAGGTTGTTTCCAGGAGACCATCGGCTCAAGAAAGCAACAAGAGAAGATATATTAGTATGATCAATAGACTCATAATAGAATAACAACAATATAAGAAGTACGAAATAGATGGATGGCATAACAATAACCGGCAGATAAAGCCCTGCATTAGTAGATAACCAGTAGCAGCCAAAGACTAACACCTAATTAGCTAGTCTCACTCTAGTGCGCTGTATAAATATTCACAACTTCTCCCTAACCTACAACCTTAATGCTCGACCTCCACAATTCTCTGTCAAGGGCCATGTCCTCAGTAATCCTAAGTCGCGCCAAGTCCTGTCTGATCACCTCTCCCCAATACTTCTTAGGTCGCCCTCTACCTCTCCTCATGCCCACCACAACCAGTCGCTTACACCTCCTCACCGGTGCATCAGTGCTCCTCCTCTGAATGTGCCCGAACCATCTGAATGTGCCCGAATAACGTATACATCAAGGATAAAATATCAAACATAACACCACTTTTATAAGCAAAAGCATAAACTTGCAACAACAAAGAGAAACTTATGGCATGGAATTCCTTTGATAAGCAGTAGTGAAACCTATGGCACGTGTTGAGACCAGATATACAACAGTGGAGACGGCGTTTTTATTTCTGTCATTGGTAAAACTCCATGACGATGACGAATTTGTTGGAAGATGACCAATTATAAAATCCATATTTCTTCATCCGAAGAATATTTATGCATATCCATTTAGTTTATGCATAAACATTCCAAATGTACTCTAATAGATAAAATATATAGTCGCACACACTACTATTTTTTTTTCATATTGCAGTCCATATATCTATAGCGTCTACGCAACATATTTAAAAGATAAGTTAAATACAAAAAATAATATACGTATTATTTTTCTGAGACTTTGATTTTATCCATCACGTAGAATACAAGCTAGAGACAACACCAAAAGGTTGATATTGCACGATTGTACGCCTGTGTACCTTGTGCAATTCTGATGTATTTCACCTTTTTAATGGTGTTGCTAATTAACTAATTGCCTAATTTATGCTACAATTTGTCTAACTTAAATCTCTTTATTACAAAGGTCTCATCAAACAATCTTAATTCTGATCAAGTAATCTTAAGCAGGTGCTATTTGTTGCCTTTCGCAAACAGTGCTAATACATGTAGCCAATAATCTAAATTTTTATTTTCTTCCTTAATAGCTATTTATTAAAATGGATAAGTGTTTATGCATGACTTCAATTTATGAATATTTAGGGCATTACATGTTTAAAAATAATAGCATTCGCGTGCTTCTTTGTATACCGTATTTTTCATATAACATTTTCTTATAAAAGTTTGCATTTAATATTCTTCGCGCAACGCGCGGGTACAAATACTAATTCCTAAAGAACAATAACTCTGTGTGGATCCGAAGCTCATATTAAACATATTAAAAACAAAAATAATATTTAAAAACCGACCCTTATAGGTCATCTTATCAATCACCCCCAAATTTTTAGCTGAATGAATAGGCTTCTGGCTAAACTTGTTCTAAGTTTTAATTTACGCACTAACATTAAAGGCTCTTTTGGTATAGGGAATAAGGAATAATTAATTACGAAATAAAATTTAAGAAGAGTTTATCCCATGTTTGGTTGGGTGAAAATTACGGTATAATTAATCCAAGAATTAATTATCTTAGAATTGTAATTTTTTTATCCCCATAAAAAAGGTGGAATAACTAATCCCGAAATAATTAATTCTGAGATAATTCTTTCCAACCAAACGACCCCTAAGGGTTTAATTCATTGGATACTGTATAATACAACCATTGGAAAACAGACATCATCAAAGAAAAAGAAGGTCAAAACCTGAAACTACAAAAGGAAAAAGAGAAATTAAATTTGTCAGGTATATTTAAATTTCGAATCACTTTTAAATATACCAATAATCCACGACATAATTCAAGAATTTAATAAATAGTAAAAAGTGCTGGGAATCTGTTTTGTCTTCAACTAAAATTCAGTTATGTGCAGTATTGAATAGTTCATGTTGTTAGCTTGGTTATGAACTTCTGAAATCTGAGTCTTACTCTTTCAGTTAATGCAAGATTGGTTTCATGTGGTTAAAATTGGTTTATCACTACTGAAGGTTGTTTGTTAGGTTTAAATTATCTTTGCTTGATTCAATAATGAAAAGTGTTTCAACATTATTCCTTCAATCAAAGTTTAGATCTTTTTTTCTTAAAAAGAAAAAGAAAACGTTGAGCATGTAATGGAAACAGTGCTACTGCTTTACTTGAGTGTTAGTTCATGAAATTAATGTGTAATTTTGATTTGATATTGGCATGTGGAGGACAAAGCTAAGCAGTAATTAGATTTGATCACCATTTTATCAAATCCATCAGTGACTAGATTTCAAGCCAATCGGGCAGTAATGAAAAGAGTAACGGGATCCCTGCTGGTTAAATCAATTAGTCCAAACGGGGTTAGAATCAGGCCACAACACTTCACATAATTGTAATTGATATTTAGAAGTTGTATAGTAATTTATCTAGTGCACCAAGTGCAATCAACAGTATTATGTAATATCATTTCTTATTTTTAGTTGTAATATAATTAAAGTTTGTGGTGTGAGTTTCTGTCCATGTTGTACATCTTTCTTTTGATTAGCTCATTTCTTGTTTCAGCTATTTATTTTAAAGCCCATATGATTCTGTATGATCCTTGTTTTAAAATGAGATTTTTTCCTAGTTATACCATATATGAAACCTTATTACCAAAAATGTTCATAATTTGTTAATTACCCGTCCAGTCCACACTTTTACTACAATTTATATACCAATCCATAATTAGGAAGATTCTGCCATTTAAAACGCGCTAAAAAGAAGGCACGAAATCTGCGTTTGATTCTTTCCACATTAAATTCAAATTTTGAAACGGAAAGAGATCTCATTGCTGCATAATTCTCTCATTCACTACAATTCTAAAACAACACAAGTTTCATAAGCTCCAGTAGTCAAATTGCTTTTACAAATTCTACAACGCAATATAAATTGTAGAATTCAAAATTGTTCTTCATCGACCTCAGTACTCAAATTGTCGAACCTATATCTGTTCTTCATCTTTTTTCTGTCAACTACACGAAATCATGACAAAAATTCCAATAATGCTAAAATTAAATGGAAATTGGGATCACTATGGCAGATTTAAAGATTTTGAAGTTGATGCCATTGTGGTATGAGAATGCAAGCTACGGAATTCTGATTTCTACAATTGCAGAACAATTATCGATTGATACATCAGATAAAATTGTAGAAATCAAATACATTGTGAACGACAATTGTCCTCCAATAGAGATTAGGAATGATATGGGGGGTCGTGTGTATATGGAGACCAAAAAGGAGAATAAGAACTTAGGTTCGTATCCTTTATGTATAAGCGTAAGAGATTTTAATATGGAATTGGCAATCACCAACGATAGCACAAGTGCAGGTATGTTTAATTCGACATTGCAGAGAGTTATTGTGTTAGTGTGTTATCTACAATATTACAACATTTATCTACAAATTAACTATATTAAACAATGTACTGAAGCTCATAAAGCAATGTTGTTTTCAAAATTATCTACATAGTTACTACATTTATCTCTATGTTGCTGCAGGTTCGTCTGGATCCCTAAACTTACTTGAATTTCCATCCTCACCAGCTACAGAGGAATATCAAAGTGAAATAATAACTAAATCTACGCAAACATATATTGAAGAAGGACAAGTTTATCAGGACAAGCAAACTGTAGCTGCTGCAATGAAGAATTTTTCTGTGATGCACAAGTTCCAGTTCAGAGTAAAAAGATCTAGTCATAGAAGGTATGAATTTATTTGTGGAGAATATATCAGTAAAAGCAGTGTTTTAGTGAAGATATGTGGTTTTTATAAATTGTAGTTAAACTGTAGTTATTTGTAGTTTTTAACGAATTTGTGTTAAAGCAGTCTTTTTTGTTGCTTCTACATCTATAGCATGTATTAAATATTATTTTTTTTTTGTAGCTACTGCCTTATATGTGTTGCTGAAAACTGTAAATGGCACTTCAAGGCAACGTCAATTAATGATTCGGTAATATTCAAGATAAGGAGTTTCAGCCGACAACACACATGCTCCTTATTAGACGAAACATTCATACAGCGCAAATGTACTGCAGCTGTAGTTGGTAGCATGGTCGTTCCAAAGTATTGTGATCCTAAGACTGTTTACACACCAAAGGACATACAAACTGACGTGTTATCCGAACATGGACTGAACCTAAGCTACATGCAAGCATGGAGAGCCAAGGAAAAGGCTTTACAATTTTTGAGAGGGAATCCGTCTGACTCCTACAGCAAACAATTACCCAAATATTTTTATATTCTTGAGGAGACTTATCCTGGTTTTGTTGTTAAATTGAAGAAGGCAGCAGATGATTGCTTCTTATACGCATTTGTTGCTCTTTGTACATCAATAAGTGGTTGACAACATTGTAGGCCAGTAGTAGTGGTTGATGGGACATTCTTAAAGTCAGCCTACAGGGGGATTATGCTTACAACAAGTACCATGAATGCAGCAGGTAAATAATGTAATAATTTTGTAGTTATTTTGTAGGCAGTCTATAAAATGTAGTTAAATTGTAGTTATATTGTAGTTATTTTGTAGCTAAAGGAAAAACATGTAGATAAATTGTCTATATTCTGAATATATATTGCAGTTGTTATTTAATTATATTTTTATATACCTTTTCAGGTCTTCCAATTAATATTTTATGAATTAAAAATGTAGGTACTATATTTCCCTTGGCATATGCTGTGGTTGATTCTGAAAACGACGCGTCTTGGAAGTGGTTCTTTGAGCAATTCAAGGAGGCATATGGTGAAAGACCTTCAATGTGTGTTGTTTCAGATAGGAATGAGAGTATACTGAAGGCAACATCAATTGTCTATCCGGGCATGCCACACTACTCTTGCATGTGGCATATTTGGACAAATATAAGGTCCAAATTCAAGAAGGGACATTTACAATTACATGAATTGTACTTTGCTACAGCACGGTCATACACTCTGGATGAATTTAATAAAAGGATGTTGAAGATTGAAGAGGTAGACCCGCGTGTGAAATCTTACCTATATGATATTGGCTATCATAGATGGACAAGAGTACATGCAACGGTGAATAGAACTTTTACTATGACATCAAACATTGTCGAGTCGTTGAATGCTGTAACAAAAGAGGCAAGAGAGCTGCCAATATATGATCTATTAGAGTATATGAGGACGCTTCTTGAACGTTGGACGAAAGAGAAGTTATTGAAGGCAAAGGGTACTTTCACATGCCTTGGGTACAAATTCAACAAAGAATTGGATGAAAACAATATATTATCTCAGAAACTAAGGGTAAGATCTGTTTGTTTTGTGCAAAAAAAATAAATTGCTTAATATGCATTGTTTCCAGATTGTAGATAAATTGTAGTCAAATTGTGGATAATTGTAGATTGTAGATAAGTTGTAATGTATTTGTAGCTGATTTGTAGGTAAGTTTTGGATAATTCTTTTTAATAATTGATATATTATTATTAATGTTTGTTCTTCAATTATAGGTGAGGGCTTCAACAAATCATTTATATACTGTGTTAGATGGTGTGAAGCGGTACATTGTGTGTCTAGAAACCAAGAAATGTAGCTGCGGAAAATTTCAACTTGATGAACTTCCATGTGCGCATGCTTTGGCAGCATTAAGGCATAGGAAGGAAACATACGAAAACTATTGCTCTCCGTATTACACAAGGAAGAGCCTTCTGCTTACCTATGAAATGCCAGTAAATCCTCTTCCTGATGAAAGCAAATGGGATGTGCCACAATATATTTTGGATGAGGTAGTAAAGCCACCAGCGGGAGATAAAAGGCAGCCAGGGAGACCTCACAAGGAAAGATATAAAACATTTGATGAAATAAAGTCAGAGAAGTACAAGGTGTCATGTGGAAATTGTGGAGGTGAAGGGCATACCAAAAGAACTTGCAAGAATGCGCCCAAAAAGAAATGAATATCATGTAGTTAGAATAATTATTCAAAATAAATGTTAGTGAGTTCAAATTATCTGATTTTTTTGTGTAATCGTTCAAGTTTTTGAAGATGATAATGAAGTATACTACAATTTGTGTATTTGCGTTTAATATGATTTTATGTATTCTGTCAGGCATCTAAATTTGTCTTTTCTATAGCTTAGTTAAACTTTAATATTTACTATATACAAAACAACTAATATTAATGAAGAATTCATTCAATGTAAACTGTTTCCAGATTGTAGTTAAAATGTACTTTAAATATAGTCTAATTGTAGTCCTGTTAATAATTTGTAGATGATTTGTAGTTAAAATGTAGTTTAAATGTATTTAAATTGTTGTCTTGTTAATAATTTGTAGATGATTTGTAGATTAATTGTGGATAATTTATTTATATGATTCCTGTATTTATTTCATATTTTGGCTGTGTACCTTAATTACAAATGACAGTTATATACAGAAATTACCTAGAACTTGAAGGTATTTCATAAAAATTACTTGAAGATTAAAGGCAAATTGTATTCTAGCAAATCAGAGTACTCGAGTTTAATGTAATGAAGATAAAGTGTTGTAAATAACCAAAATGACATATTTCCTACAGTGTATTCCACTTCAACTACAAAATAACATCAACTAAACTAGGAACACAAGACTCTATTTCTTCTTTCTATGTACTTTGTTCCTCTCATTTTTAGCAGGAGCACCCTTCCTCTTTACTAGCCTGCCTGTAACCTCACTTTCACTGATTGAACTATCTTCTTGCTTTTTTGTAGCATAGTCCCATAGTAGAGCTCCATAGCGTCTACGGTGTTGGTCGATATTAGAAAGATCTTCTTTTGGGATTGCCAAATCTCCAAGGCTAACATACTCCGCAAAAGCCTCCACAAATACACCACAATCGCTGCATAAGATAATTTTTTTTTATTATGTAACAATTGATTAAAATAAAATAATTAAACATATAGAAAGGGAGAATAGTTTTTTTACAGTGATCCTTCCTTTTGCTGTGGAATCTCCGCAACCATCCACTGTAAGTTGAGAGGGTCTGTAACTGGTTTCTCAATGTATGCCTTTGTTGTCTTGAAGTCAATGTCATTACGTTTCCCGTAGAAACCAGTGCAAGACAAATACAGAGGGATAATGATTGAAAACTTATCAACCAATGATTCAACAATTTTATGAAGGTTTGAAGACACCATGGAATCATAAACATAAAGTTACCTGTCCACTATGTCGAAAACGAGCAACAACCAATGGAAATTCTCTACATTGTTCACATGCATCATGACATAGCCAACTACATCCCAGGCAACATTAGCAAGAAGTCTATACCCAAGGATATATTCTGCAACATCATCATCTGATTTAACAACCGAATACTTAAGTTCTGGTGGAGAACTTTTGAACTTGTCATAGATTCGTTCAATCTTGGTCCTGAACAAGCAATCGGTTGTTGTGAACCTAGTGTCGTTGTTGGGGCCATACTTGCCTCTTTTTCTCAAATAATACATAATAACATCAATGTGCTGCAAAATAAAATAAAGTCTACTATAAGATACAAAGTAACCANCTTGGTCCTGAACAAGCAATCGGTTGTTGTGAACCTAGTGTCGTTGTTGGGGCCATACTTGCCTCTTTTTCTCAAATAATACATAATAACATCAATGTGCTGCAAAATAAAATAAAGTCTACTATAAGATACAAAATAACCACAATTATCTACATAACAGCTACAACTTAAACTACAATTTGAACTAATCAAATAATCTAACAGATTGCTACACTTTAGCTACTATACAGAGGAACAAATTCAACAGCTGAAGACAAAACATAGTAACCTATATATCTAGTCTACAATATAACTACAATTATACTGCACAGCTGAAGACAAAACTACAATATAACTACAATTACACTACACAGCTTAAGACAAAACACATATTGTGGAGGATTCTGCTCTTTATACTTACGGTGTTATTGATGACTTGTCCTGGGTGAGCAAGGGCATAAAACCAGTCCTTCTTATCCACCTTTTCACAACCAAAGTCTAACCAAGGCTTGATTTGGTTATCCTTTTTGGAAAAGTATTCTTTCCTCCTGTAATAACAAAAACATATCAAATAAAAAAATGACAGAATGAATTACATATTTAAAATTTAAAATGGTGAAATGACAGTGTAAAATTAAACATTCATACCTCTTAGATACTTTGTCACTACGAAGGTATAACCAGTTGGTGAACCTTTCTATCAAATCAGCATCTACATTTTCACCTATAACAGTTGTGAAGGGGTGCTTGAGGAAGAAAAATTTAGGTCCACCAGAGGTGCTGCCTCCAGAACTATACAGAGGTGTGAAAGGTGATCGTGCATGTTTCCCCGGTTGCCTGGTTCTACCCGGATGAATAGGGGTTGCTTCATCTGGTATGGGCTCGCCATACATGACCAATTGTGTTAAGTTGTCTGGCAACTCAAAGTCATCCAATGTCGGACCTTTCTTGTCAATGCCTGAACCTTCAGGAACAACTTCATTCACAGTCACACCGTGAATTGGCGGCTGTGGAACGTTATCTTCAATATTTGTTACATATAAAATAACATACTTAACAACATTGTATAATTGTATAAGCAAAAATTTACTACTTCAAAAGTATATTATGATACTATACCTGTTTTTTCTACCTCAGCTCCTTCCTAAAATCCTGGTTCTTCTTCAACCATTGCTGGCACACCCCCAGGAGAAACTTCAGCTTCTGAAGATAAATGTTTAAATATGTATTTATACACAATATTGTTGATATAAAGTGAATATAATGAGCTTCTGATATTATACCTGCTTGTTGTGCCTCAGTTACTCCTTCAAATTCTGGTTCTTCCTCAACATGTGCTTGGAGATGTTCTGTTGAAACTTCAGCTTGAATGAATAATTTAAAAATGAGAATTGTAGATATATGTGGGAATTTGTAGTTAAAGTGTGAATTATAAAAAATTTGCATTGTAACCTTATTGTAATGAAAGTATGATAGTATACATGCTTTATATGCCCCAGTTGCTTCTTGAAAATCATGATATAAGTCAACATGTGCTTGAACATGTTCCGGAGAAATAGCAGCTGCAAAACATAGTGAAAAGGGTTATAATAATTAGATAATGATGTCTTGAAGTTTGTAGATATGTTTGAAGGAATTCTATAAATATTTGTATTGCTTGTGCTTGCATGCACTTGATCACCAATATTGAACTGAAATTGCTGGTTGTTCTCTCCTTGTTGTTGGTCATTATTTTTGATTGAACTACCAGCAAACTACAACTTTTGGGTATGTTTGAGTATATTTGATTCATATGTCATAATTAGTTTTACTACAAAAATATACATCAATTCTTACCTTTGACTCGTCCACATCGTACCTCCTGTTTATCACCTTCATAACACTCTTCACAGAAACATCTATGAACTGTCGAAGGCTTGAGAGTTCCTCAAAAACAGCCTTCCTAAATTCAGCTAACTTTCCATCAACCTAAAAATTAAATATATAATTAGTTAATCTTATTCAAAGTGTTACAATTCCACTACAATTTAACAAAGATTTGTGCAATACCTACAGGGCTCAATATAGAATTATACCACAAATTAACTACAATGTATAACATACAATAATTGTTATGGAATGAAGTTAAATTGTAGCAAAAAATGTCTTTATATTGTAGTTATTTATATTACCTGCTCAATCGCCTTTTCCAACTTCCTGAGCTTGCTAGTCACAGATTCAGTGTCCTCTTGACAATCTGTATCTTTGGGTTCAAATGTTGGAGAAGCAGCAATTGGAACCTGTGATGATTGAGCACCATGTGCATCTTCATACTGAATCTTGTCTGGCAGATTAAGCACTCCAATCTCTTCTCCAGATTCAGTGATGCTTGTGAACTGAATGATGGAAATAACAGTTAGTTCAAGTAAATAAAAAAATATAGATTAATTGTAGTTATTATGAAGGTAAATGTAGCATCATACAAAAGTGAAAAAATATACCT